TTAGGGTAGATTTTCTTAAGTTTCGTAGGTACCAGGTACCACCTATATATTAGTTTGTGTGAGGCTTCCAGGTGCGAGGCGCACGATGTGAGTCCTCTGTGGTTAGCATATATGTGGTTCCAGTCGACTGGTGTGAGGGTTCTATTGATATCTCTGTGCCAGTCTTTTTGAAATTGCCACTCCGGATCTGGCTTATGTGCGTTTATGTGTCTGTAGCACACTGATAATGTTTTTTGGGTGGGGGTGAGGTGTAGGCACATTTTTTCGAATGGAGTGAGGTTGGGAACTAATTGGGGCGGTGGTTCCTTGCCCGTATTGTTATCTAGGAGTGTTTTCAATTGCCAATGTGAGAATGTCAGTTTGGCTGAGATATTGTATTTGGTCTGCAGTGTTAAGAACGGGAGCGGGCCATTTTCGGTGCAAATTTGATGTAGGTGTGTGATGTTGTGGGCTTGCCATGTTTTGTAAGGGAACGTGTTGTTGTGGAGTGCAATTGTTTTTAGTGGTGTTGCCATCGACCATGGTGTGGCTGAACAGAATGCAACCCTGTGGTTGTCCCATATGTTGTATAGGAGTTTCGTGGTGGGTAGGGTGTCTCGGGGAACATTGCGTAGTGTCTTAGGCATCCACATAGCAGCTGCTAGGTCTGTTTGTCCTCCGCAGCTAGCTTCGATGGAGATCCACTGGGGGGTGTAAGTGGTGGAGTGCATTTGGAGCATGTTGGCGATGTGTGTTGCATGGTAGTATGCCCTAAGGTCAGGGAATCCCAGACCTCCCTTTTCCGGGTGTCTCATTAATAAAGCTCTTGGGACTCTGGGACGTTTTCCTCCCCAGCTAAATTTAATCAGGAGCGATTGTAGTCTTTGGATGTACGTCTGTTGTATGGGGATTTGTAGGGAGCGGAACATATAGAGGATTTTCGGTAATATCGTCATTTTTATGGCCGCAATGCGGCCTAGCCAAGAAAGGAACTTGTTTTGCCATGAGTGTAGCGTTTGCTCCACTTCTTTGAGGAGCTTGATATAGTTGGCGGCAAATAAGCCTGAGTGGTGTTTTGTTAGCTTAATGCCTAAGAATGTCAAGTAGTCGGTCCTCCAGTCATAGTTGAAGTTGTGTTTGAAACGTTCCTCCTCCGATTTGGACATGTTTATGCACATGGCCTGTGTTTTGGTTAGGTTCAGCTGGTAATATGAGTGCGTGCTGTATTCTGTTATTTCTTTGTGGAGGTTGGGGAGTGAGATTGTCGGGTTGGTTATCGTGAGGAGTATGTCGTCCGCAAAGAGGTTCAGTGTGTAGTCCCTGTCGCCTATTGTTACCCCTTTGATGTTTTGGTTATTTCTGATGGCTATTGCTAGCGGTTCCAACGCTAGCACGTAGAGCAAGGGGGATAATGGGCAGCCTTGCCTGGTGCCGTTGGTTATTGTAAAGGGGGCAGAACTGAACCCTGAATTGAGAACCGTGGCCGTTGGGGTGCTGTACAGAGCTCTTATCATGTTTTGGAAGTCCGGTGGGAACCCGTATCTCGACATCACCTCATGTAAGAATTGCCAATTGAGACGGTCAAATGCCTTCTCAGCGTCTAGGGAGAGGAGCGTGCTCTGTAGTGTGGAGCGGTTAAGGTAGTGAAGTATGTCCAATACTTTCCGGGAGTTATCTGGGCCCTGTCTGCCTGCCACGAATCCTACTTGGTCTGTTGAGATCAAACTAGGCAGGAATGTTTTGAGCCTAGCCGCATATATTTTAGCATATAGCTTGGCGTCGGCATTTAGCAGGGAGATAGGTCTAAAATTTGGGCAGATCGTTGGTGGTTTACCCGGTTTGGGTAGGGTTATAATGTGTGCTGCTAGGAATTCGGGCGGTAGGGTTCCCTGTTGCGTGGCTAGGTTGAGGGCTCGTGTGATGTAGGGGGTTAATATGTCCTTAAAAGTGGTATAGTACAGATTGGTGAGGCCGTCAGGGCCTGGGGCTTTGCCTTTTGGCATAGAATCAATGGTCTGTGTCACTTCTAGGGTGGTAATGGGGGCCGCGAGAGCGGCTACTTGGTGTGCTTGGAGTCTGGGCATGTCAATTTTGTCGAGGTACTCCGAGATGGTGCGAGGGGTTGGCTGAGGTACTTGTGGGTTGTCCTTTAAGTTATATAGGGAGCTATAGTACGTTGCAAATTCCTTGCAGATTTGAGTGGGTTGGGGCAGTTTCTGTCCCTGGGGAGAGAGTAAGTATGGGATTCTGGTTTGGGCTTGTTTATCCCTGAGTCTTTGGGCCAGAGTTTTGCTGGCTCTGTTACCCAGGACAAACGTGGTCGCTTTGAGTCGCTTCAGTGCATAGCTTGCCTTTTGGAAGTTGGTGGTGTGGATTTGTCTTTGCAGGACAGCGATCTCTTCCTGCGTGGCTTGGGAGGGAGTCATTTGGTTTGTCCTGTGTAGGTCTTGTAGTCTTTTTAGGTTCTGAATATGTGCGTGTTGTTGTTGTTTTTTGAGGTGGGCTGCCCGTCTTATAAATATGCCCCTGATGACTGGTTTATGGGCCATCCAAAGGGTGAGCGAGGTAATGTCTGGGGTGTCATTGGTTTGAAAGTATGTCTGCATGTCTTGTCGTAGTGTTTGGGTGAATTGGTGATCAGTGAGAAGTTGCTCGTTGAGCCTCCAAGGGCCTCTGTTTTTGTAATTGTAGTGGTCTGCTAGTGTGAGTTCCACTGGGTTGTGATCTGACCAAGCAGAGGTACCTATCTCACACGCTACCGCACGGTTCAGATGTGCGCTTTGCAAGAGGAAGCCATCGATTCTTGAGTAGGTGTTGTGTACCTGGGAGAAGTGTGTGTATTCCCTCTCGGTTGGGTGCAGTGTGCGCCATGCGTCGTATAAGCCGTGTGACTGTAGGAGCTTGGTTAGGGACTTACATTGCCTGTGGAGGACCTTGTGCCTATGAGGCGTATGCTTCGCTGTTGAGTCTAGCGCGGGGTCTTGGATCTGATTAAAATCTCCGCAAATGATCGTTGTGCCCGTTTGCGTTGAGGATATGAGCCTCAGGAGGTTGTGGAGGTATCCACATTGGTTTGCGTTCGGCATGTACGTATTGACTATCGTGTATGTGGAGCTATTAATGGTGCAGATCAGTATAAGGTATCTCCCGTGTGGATCTTTTGTGACCATTATTTCCTCAAATGCAAGGTGTCGGCTGATTAGGATGGAGACGCCTTTACGTTTTGTGGGCGCTGTGGCGTGGTATTGGTGCGGGTATATTGCTTTGCTCAGGACTGGGCTAGTGGTGGATTGGAAGTGTGTTTCTTGCAGGCAAATTATGTCTGCTTGGGCGTTTTTTAGATCTTTGAGTAGAATGTGTCTCTTGTGTGGGGTGTTCAGGCCCCTAACGTTGTGTGTGTATATCTTCATACTACAGTGTTAAGAGTAGGGTATGCTGTACTGGAGCTCTGTGGATATCTTGGGGTGCACAGGGTGCGCAGCTAAAAGGGCTTGCCATGTGGTGTTGGGGTGTAATTCTGACACATTTAGTTAAAAAACATACAATTATAAACCATAACATAGTCAATATAAACATAACACAACATGTGGACGCCACTATTGGGGCGTACAAAGGTATCAACTTGAAGGTCATGGGTCTAACCTCCTTGGTTAGGGGGTAGGTGGCCGTGTCTGGCCGGTTCAGGTCTGATCCCGTCTCGCACCGGTGGCCAGAGCTCGGTAACTGCTTGCACTGTAGGTCGGTCGGGGGCTACGGGGAGAAGGTCGGTGCTTATGGAGAGGGTTTAGCCTGTCTCAGTGCGGTCATGGGGGCTGCCCTGTGGGGTGGTGTTCATGATTCATCTGGTTATGGGGGGGGTCTGTTGATCCGGTCTTCTACTATCTTTGTGACTTTTTTTTAATTTTTTATTTTTTTCTTGATATATTTTGTTTTGTTTTGTCTGTCTTGCGTCATGATGTCTTTGTGGTTGTGGGGCCTGTGGTTGGGGGGTTCATCTGGGCTTTGAGAAAGGGGGTCTGTCTAAATATGCTTTAGGTCCTCGTGACCTGTGTCTCGGTCGCGTACGTCTTTACTTAGTCCCGTGTGTGTCTGGTATCTGTCTAGTGTCTGTCCCGCCGGTGTTGCCCTGGTATCTGGGCCCCTGGGCGTATTCCCCTATCACCCATCTCCTAGCTGTTGGGTGTATAAACCCCGCTCTCAGTCTTTACATGTCGACCCGTCCCCGCAGACCAAACCTGTGGAGAGTGTCCCATAAAGTTCATCGCATCAGTCGCTGGGTGTTCCTTCTCGGCTTGGGCTTTTTCCATTCCCCTTGGATCTTGTCGATTCGTAATGGTCCTTTTTCGGACATGGTCTCGGTTAGTCCCCAGGTTTGCAGAAGCTCTACACCCTCTTGGTTAGAGGTTATCACGTGTATCTTGCCGCCTTTGTGGATCAGGAGTTTCACTGGGTAGCCCCAGCGGTATTGAATGGTGTGATGCCTGAGAGTCTCCGTGATGTTGCGGTACGATCTCCTTCTCCGCAGGGTTTCCGCTGAAAGGTCTGCAAATATCAGGACATCTTTGAATTTCTCGTTCCCGCTCCGTCCGGTTCGGTTGGCCTTGAGGATCTGTTCTTTCACGTGGAAATAATGGACTCGCAGCAGGACATCTCGTGGGTTGGAGGTGGGTAGGTGTGCGGGTCTCGCTGTTCTGTGGATCCTGTCCAGGATCAGCATGTCCGCTGGGATATCTGGCAGCATGGAGTGAAAATATTCAGTGACATAAGCTGTGAGTTCGGTTTGGGTGATTGCTTCTGGAATGCCTCTCAGCCGCAGGTTGTTACGGCGTGAGCGGTCCTCCATATCCATGAGTTTGTACTCACAGCGTTCCATTTTGCTTTCCAGCTCCTCTACCCTGTCAGCTAATGTGTTTTGGGCCACAGTGAATTCCTCCATCTTATTTTCTAAATGGGAGGTGCGGTTGCCAATGTCTGTTATATCTTTATGTAGCTCTGCCACTGCTGCTTGTATTGTTACTTGCATTTTGTGTGCTAGGGAGTCCAGCATATGTTGCAGGGTCGGCTTATCCACCGCCATTCCCGCCAATGATTCGCCGTCGGTGTCGGACTCGGCGCCATCTTGGACTGATGTGTCCGCGTTTTTATTTTGCTGTGCCCGGGCCGTGAAAAAGGACGCCTTGTCCTTGGCCTCCGGTGGTTTTTTCGTGCGGTGTTGGGACATGCTGGTAAGGGGATTTCGGTGCTCGTTGGTGCTTTAGTATCGCTGTGTTATTAGCTTTTCACGAGCCTGGCCGTCGGAGCTCGTTCAGCCTGCGACCATCCGGCTCGGCTTCCGGTCACGCCCCCCCGACGGGTTCTTTTAAGTAAAAAATACTAGTACGGTATTTTACAATTATCATTAATAGTAGTGTTTACATAGCTCAAACATATTCCGCAGCGCATTACAATTAGAGAAAGAGTTGAAGACAGCCCAGCTGAAAATCTATCAGATGAAGATTAACAATATGAATACATCATCGTATTAAATAGCCTTTAACTTTTTGTGCAAACAAAAATCTTTTGGAAGGATATAAATAGATAAAAAATCAGACTATAAAGGTTTAAAATAAAAAGTTACTCCCTATTCGATGTAAGCATGGCAAATACGTATTGTAATAAATAGCAGTAATAAATAAATGGTATATCTTACACACAGAAAAAAGTAGGCTGTGAAATATCTTAAATAGAGCATCGAATTTAAAAAAAAAAAAGAAAATATTCCAAATAAAACAGATTTACTGACTAGTAAAAGGGAAAGAGGATATTTATGAGAGGAGTCGGAAGCCTCCTCCAATACAGGATTCTCCTAATATACAATGTCATGACGAAGCCTTTTATGTGACAAATTTGCTCAGGAAAGAGTTCTTGTCTCAGTAACTAAACGCTAGCATCTGACAGTTTAATTCTTTCCTGGAAGCTCTGGAGGTTTCACATTTATCATGGAGAGATTCAGCTTGATTTAGAGTGTAAGCCTTTTTGAGCAGAACACTCTCTGGTTCTTTTTTACAAAAGTCAGACTTGTTGATGTTTAATGATTTATTTATTTTTTGTCCCAATGACCCATTGTACAGAGCAGCAGAGTATATTGCTGTTTTATAAATTGCTAACATTGGATCATGCTGAATTTCCAGGTCGATACAAGGTCCTTTAGGCCGGTGGCACCAACAGAGGGTTCCTAATAACCTAGTCCCAGTCAAAGTTACAAATGTTTTAGCCCTAGTTTAAATACGGACTGCCAAAGTATGATTTTGCTGAATGACCGCAAAATTTGTCCTGATTTTAGCGAAGCTTTGTTCACAGGTTTATCTGGGGAATAAAATGTGTTTTGCCAAAGCCAAGCAGTAAAATGAAGACCTAAATAATTAAGAATAAACATGACTTAAATCTTGTTCAGACTCTGCTGTGTTGGCCTAAATATTGCTACTCTGTTTTCAACTGACCAGCTCACTTTTTATAAAAAGAACTCTGTCACTTATATTTTGCAGAGATCCCCAAATGACACATCTCCATTTTGTAGGTAAGTATAGTTTGTTGCAGCTGTCCCTTGCAGCCCCTGACATCTTCTTCTTGGGGGCCATCCTGACCAGTTTATGATGCTTCATCTGCTAGGGGCCACATTAGTGCTGTAACCTCATGTGCAGGAGTACAGCACTCTGGTCTCTGGAGGAGCCTGCAAGACCGCGGAATCCTCCATAGATCTTATCTCATGCTAAACAAGAGCATGTTGGACTCCCGCTTTTGACTTCTGCTGGGATTTGACAAAAGTTGACAGCAGAATCCACCTTTTTATCAATCTCTGACTTGACAATAAAAAAAAGAACTAATCCCTACTTGACCATAACAGAAAGAAATTCCAAAGCAGTCCGCATGAGTATTTCATAAAGATTTAAGGGGAAAAAGGTCCTTGTTTCCTGCCAAGAGGGTTCCTTCGAAGGTGACATAACAAAGCCTACCCATGCACCATCCAACCTTGAAAGGTATTTATTAATTCTATTTATTTGACAATACTTATACAGTGCTCTCACCCAGAGTGCTCTACACAGATTGAAGGAACCCTCCAAACACAACGAGCACTTTATCTTGCTGAAGTGCTTTAATTGTGAATAATGTCTGCTCTTTCTTTCTCTCTTTTTTATGAAAGTACTGATTTCAATAGAAATTGGTGTTTTTTATAAATGAACCCTGATACAGTCAGACAGCTGTGATGTGTTGTTTAGCTACATGGAGCTAAACGCAGACAGCCATTTGCGCAGAAGACCTTCCTTTTGAAAGACTTTTCAGCAGCTGTAATACAGCTCAATATGAACTGCAAGCCAAGAACAAAAAACATCCAAAACACACGGCATGCTTTCTTTCAGATTATTATATCTACTAAACTGTTACATTAAATATTTTTTATGGAGTGTTCTTTTAGCATTCCATAATTGATCATTCCGTATTGATAGAATTATTAAGTTGTAATACAGTTCGTTATAGGACGTTGAAGTTACACAATTATCAATTAGAAAGCCGTTACGGTAAAATAATGACCAAAGAACAACAAAGATTACATATAACCTATTTTACAACATAATTACTGAACAAGAACATTGCATATATATCTATACTCATTAGAACCATGGAGCAGTACTCGAGTGGGAAGCATAAGCGGACACAATAGGTTTGGCCCAAAAAGGGATAAAGAAAGATGTAGCTTGCATCCAGTTGACAGGTGGTGAGAGGCAAATCCAAATAAAGGGAAGTATCGGTTCTGCATTCCGAGCTGAAATGGTGATTTTCCAGTCAGTTGGCCAACATGAGTATGGAGCATTGTGGAACTAAATACTTTTGAGTCTAGACTTACTTGAGAGATTCTTGTTGAGCCAAAGCATTTTCTTATTGGTGGTGTGCAAATAATTTCCTTTTTTAATTTTATTTTTTTATAAGTTGTACATGCCTACTTTTCCGTGGCATTGAATGGCCCTGCCATGGTACAACTGGCCTGTCCTCCTTTATTTAGCAAGAGCCATTATTGTCTGCATATATTATCAAACAAAAACACACAAACATTTTACAGTCTCCCCCCTAGCTAGAACACTATTTTCTTATTTGACCCTTGTCAGTAATTCGTAATATAACAGGTGACTTGAAGGAACAGATCATATATGAAAATTTATTGCAGAACACCCTGAGTTATTGTATCTGTTGGGGCATCATTCTATCATGCCTCAAACTAACATTTTTGTCAATTCAGCTATTCTTGGTTGCTACATTATGGAGAAATGAAGCCCCTGGATGTTTAACAAGCTGAATAGGTAATGAGGTGAGAGAGCCGACGTTGCTGGACGATGGGGTCTGTTATGGGTTTTAATTCACTAGAGTGGTTTTGTTAACGTTGCTTCGCTGCTGCAAAAAGAGGGCAGACGGAAAAGTCGTGTGATAATGACAATAGCAGAAACATTAGTCAGCGTGTAGAATGGAAGTAAAAAACATCTGCACAGACAGATGGAATATTTAATTTTTTTTAGCCCAACTGCCAATATCCCATCATGCTTCAGGAGCATGTCAATATCTGCAGGGGAGCTGGAGGTTTCAAAAGTGGGGCGTCCAATTTCCCCAAACTAGAAAATATTACGATGGACGCATTCCCAGAAAAATGTCACCAGGCAGATATTAAGCTGTCTAACGGAATGTTTGGGCCAAGTGTATCTTAGTGAATATCATGTTTACAGCATCCTTGTGTGCAACGCAGTTTAACCCTTTCTCCGAGTGGGTGAGCAATGCCAAGGATCTGATAAGCCAATCTTGCACAGCCCATTGTATACATTAACTGCACCCTCTGTAATTCCTGTAGTTAGACCACGGTCCTGACCTACTCATGACACTAAAAATGTGATGTACGCTTCTTAAGATGCTCTTTTGGGTTCTGTAGGACAGAACTCTCAGTATTGTTGCATCTACTCCCTCTGATATTATTTCAGTTAAACCATTCTTATAACTCCGCAATTGCATTTTATATATCTGTGAGTTACATTTCTTGTGATTCAGAAACCTGTAGTTCGAGACCCTTGCTGTCCCTGTCGTACCCACTCCTTCAGAAAATGAAATATGACATTTCCAGCATCTCACGTCCGGCAGCCGAACATGGAATATGAGTCTCCAAATGACAGTCCGTCTGTGTTTGTTTGCCTGTCTTGTGTTCTGTTGTATAACCACCCTGTGTGATGTTTCCAAGATGTGCCGTGACATCACAAGATAAAATACATTTAAAAAATGTGCATCAATCCTCGGCGATTCGGTCAGATACAAACACACATAAATCGTAGCAAAACACTGCGCAGAACAGGATTCAGCTATGTGTGCATCTGATAAATAGCTCACATCTGTCCTCTGCCTGATCCAGGAGGATCATATCTTCCACGTTGCCCTCCCCAAAAAAACATCTCTATAAACACCAGCCACAGCAATGGAGAAAGCATTACAAACTTGAATTCTTAACTTTTATCTTGCTAGAATATTCAGGTATTACTGCAAACATTCCGTAATCATAAGCAATCAGAATGGCGCATTGTGCCAATTTGAATTGTACATGCTGTGTTTGCATGGCGCAGGCTGGAGAAGACATACTTGGTTGGCGGGTATTGGCATACAATTCAGGCACACATCAAGACAATACGTTCCTCCTCGATTCTGTAAACATCCTTTTATTTGATTTCTCTTCAATTAACTTTATATTCACAATTCCCCCCGTTTATTTAATATGCTGACAATGCATCACATGTGTCAAAATCACATGATATGTTCTGTGGCCTCTGCTTCTAGTTTTCTTTTTGCAAACTACCTGGTAGGAAAGCAGAAGAGCTTACAATTAGTTTTATGCCAAATTAATGTAGGAGAGTGCTAAATTGGCATTCTGCATGCAAATGAGACAAACATTTCAAAGAAAACATGTTTAATTGACAGGAACAGTAGGTGAAGAAGGGCCCACGCACACAATACTACAATCTGAAGGGATGATGGACAAATACACAGAGGGATGTGAGGGAATTAAATAGTCTGTATGTACCCGAGGACGGGAAGTGGGGAGTGAAGGAAGCAAAGTAAATGAGAGATGGCATTGGACATTTGTAGAGGATGGGGAGTTAAAGGGAAACTGATAGGCTTCTCTTAAGTGTGCTTTTAGGGATTTTTTAAAAAGACCGC